CCCCAGCCTCTTTATCCTTGGCTTGCCCATCTTAGCGCTGGTCCCCTTAAGCGAGGGAGGTCAACTTCTCTGCTTCCCAGTTGGAGAGCGACTCCGGTGAGCCTCCATGCCTCCCCCCTCGCCCTTCATCCTGCGCCGAGGTGGGGGGGGGAGTGACGCGGGCGAGGGGGTGCCTCTTTTCCAGCTGCAAAGTTTGCCAGGCGCCTTTTCAGGCGGTTTTCCTCCACATAACCGGCCCTAAGAAATTCTGAAAAAGATTTCCCTCTACAGGTGGCAGTGAGCTGTAGCAGTTTTTGCTCTTGCAATGGAAACGTTTTTTTCTTTTCTTTTCTTTCTTTCTTTCTTTCTTTCTTTCTTTCTTTCTTTCTTTCTTTCTTTCTTTCTTTTTCTTTCTTGCATTTTATCTACTAATAAGGTTTTTAAAGAAATCATTTTTGCTTACACCTGGCAAAGACTTACGTTTTCTCCAGATACTGGCAGGAGAGATTAAATTCTCTATGCAAGAAATATTGCCACAATCACCCCCCACCAAGCCCTAACGCTCTTCATCTCCCTCTACTCCCCCTCACTTTGTTCTGACTTCATGAAACCTTTTTGGAACTAAATTTTCATGTGCAAAATCCTTACAAGAAGAATAAAGGCATTTAATGAATGAGAATCAGTCCTGAATCTGGCAAAGTGGAAGGTACACTTGTCCACCAGAGAAGCCCCCTACCACACTGCCACCCCCACCCACAAGGCACTAGGTGAAGGAGGACCACACGGCATCTCCCCCGGGTAACACTACAGAACTGCCTTCCAACTGGCAGGCCTCCTGCAAGAACCACACACACAAGACCCTGGCAAAGCCTGTCAAGAAGTCTAGGCAATGTGCACAAATACTGTTCAATGAAAAAGACAGTAATCATGGGCAGTCATATAGAGCTGTTGTTCCAAACATTCACCAACTGACATCATAAACTTTGCAAAAGCCAAACACAAGCCAGTGCATGGTATAACCTACCTTGCCGAGCTCCTTCACTTTTTGTGCAAATGTTTTCCCCTCCGCATGCTTTACACAGATTTCTAGGGAAATCTGGAAGGGCTGGTGAGGGGGTGGGTGAAGGGGAGGGAATGAGGATAATATAAATAAGGAAGCATTTTAAATGCACCACGCAAAAAGCTCCGGATTTCACGTTGTGTCTGCACTCTTCCCGGAGCAAAGCAAAACAGTTCTCCTTCAGTGCCAGACTTGTAGGGAGAGGGAGAAGAGGGCGGGTGGGGGAGAGCGGGAGGGAAAAGAGGGAGGGGAGAGAGAAAAAAAAATACAAAGAGAGAGCAGAAGAGAGAGGAAGAAAGGAAGGAGGGAAGGAGGGAGGGAGGGAGGGAGGGAGGGAGGAGAGGAGGAGGAGGAGGAGAGAGGAGGCAGCCCCCTCCCATGCTCTCACCCCTCACGTTCAGGCACCTCCCGAGAGTAACCGATCACAGTACAGAACTCCTCACCCACGTTCGAAAACCCAGATCAGGGACTAAGTCCCAATGGACACACATTCGAGTCTATTTATAGACACACCTTAATGATACGCGTTGCATTCTGAACGTAAATGGCCAGGATTACATACGGTTCCTTTAACAGGTATTTTTTTTTTTTGGTTCTGCAGTGCGACTGATTATATCTGTTTAGCATTTCTTTGCATCAAGAAAATATGCATCAAGTTTGAAGACACCATGGAAAAATGGTGAGGGTCTCAATGCTTAGAAAACCCTGGCTTTTCCCCCCTCCTGCAAAGCTGGGATATTTGCAGAGTTGGGGCTGTTTGGAAAGGCTCCAGCTCTGGCTCGGTGTAGCAGCTCCACCTCGGTGTAGCACGCCCAGTTCCAGCAGTGTGTGCTATTGACCCGCATTGACGTCAGTGCGTCATTAGGTCTCCCTTAGAAACACTGACTTTCAAAAATAGTATCAAATTAATTCAGTTGGAGCCTGGTGAAGAAAGGCTACTAGCTAGAATCAGCCATAAAACTCCAGAATTTTCAGCCCTAGATCTCTTCTTTTTCTAGGAGCCAAATAGAAATCAGATTGTATGGAAAATGCCATTGATGAGATTTTTTTTTTTCCTTAAGAAAGGAGACCAAATTAGATTGCAAAACCAAGAAGCGCCTCCCCCCCTCTTTTTTTTTTTTCTGATCTAAAAATAACTCCCTGCCTGAGCTGACTGCAGTATCTTTTGTGTTGCAGTCCTCTGTTTTTAGCAATCTGCCCCTGTGAACACAAGAACAGACATTGGTCTATTGATGTATGCAAAGCCAAGATTTCATTTTAATAAAACAAGTGTAGTCCATGGTGGTGGGGGGGGGCTGGTGGTGGAGGGGCAATAGGGAGAGATTTATGTCATTAATACCTTCTGTTTCACTTCTTCCAATTCATTTTTTCCAAAGACATTAATTCCCACCCCGAAAGTCTCACGTGGCCTCTGACCAGAACATGCATCCCCCATTCATACAAACACAAAGTGCCAGTGCTTTCTGCTTAGTGGAAACAGTACATTCATAAGCAAGGATGCTGTGATGTTCTTCATCTCATGGGTGCTTGGCAGAAAAGGCACAGAATCCATCCCCCAAATTGAATGAGGTTTAATCTGAAGGGAACTTAAATATGTGATCTGATTCTTAAATTGCATTATTAAAAATCTGCATATATTAAACATGCACTTTTGATTGGGGACAGTTGTCTCCTTCACACAGCTAACTGGTCTCTTTTACAGCCATACATTTTTCACATGTACCTACAACATTTCTACATGAACAGAGAGCTTCCACTACACACGTGGGGAAATATGTGGCTTTCAGATCTTGAGAATATGTGGGGGGGGGCGTGTTTTTTTCTGTTTTCAGAGGAGGTGGTTAATAACTGGTATTCTTCATTCCCTTCAATTTTTTTTTTCTTGCTTCCCAGCCCCTTTTGGCTCGCCCTTCTCAAATGGGCTACATTTGTGCCTCTAGATGATGAAAGAATTTGGTTTCCCTAACCCATTCAGTCCTTGGTCTGTGCCAGACTGTTAATGAGGGGACTAATTAGGACCATTGTATACAGGGGCGCTAACAGAGACCAGGGATGCAGGCACTCAGATGGAGGAGGAGAGTCTAAACTATATTTAAATCATACGATTTAAAATTAAATGACCTTCCTTACTTTTTAAATTCCCCCCTCTCTCCCTCCCTCCTTCCTTCCCTCCCTCCCTCTCCCCCCGCCCACATACTCACCAGGTCTGGTTTTTCAATTTGTAACCACCCAATCATTTCTTACCAGTATTCCTTACAATGAGGGCCCTTCCTTTCATTCCCTGAGATCTGGTTGGGAAAGAGAAGGGGTCAGCTTTGGACCTCAGCATGTCAGACAAGGAGAGAATTCACATAATTCTCCCCTGCTAGGCTAGCAGGTCAGGGTGGTGCAGGTCAGAGAAAACCATACTCAATATTATCCACCTGCCCCTTGCTAAGCCCCAAGTAAGAACTGGGCAAGAGCTGGGCAAGGAGGCTGTGGGGCTAGAGTTTATCTAAGGACAATTCCTAGAGGATGGAGGAGCCTTCAACTGATTACAAACCGACTACCTGTTTCTCTTTGTTTTTCTCCCCCTCTCTGGGGCTTCAGGGAGGACCAGGCAGTTGCTAATGGTTTCTGCTGTATTTGTAGCTGCAGCATCAGCAGCGCAAAAGGGGGCTGCTATGAGAAAACCAAGTATTCCCCCTATTTGCCACCAACCCAACCTCAGGCTTTTGGTAAAGACACTGATCCATGGATGCTTCCAGCCAACCAGGACCTGCAAACCAGTATCCCAGCTTCCAAGGGATACATACACCCTTCATCACAAATATATTCATTCATAGAAACTACAGCCATTCATGAACCTGCACACAACCACATTCATTCATATTTTAGCCACGATTACAGCCACACATATGTTTGAAAGTGTATGCAGCAGAAACACATCACTGGAAGGCTGAATTCTGTCCCTCTCCCTTTACTCCCACCACTCACTCTTTGCTTCTTTTCCCCCAAGGGGCTTCAGTTCTGAAGTATACGGAATCCTGGCAGAAATACATTTCTGCCATCCAGACAATCAAATCTCCAGCCTGTATAAAAACCCACTGACCTCGTCCATGATTAGATCATGGACTAGATGCCTGAGTGCTGGCGGAGCTACAGATGCCTAGGTGGAGGAGGGCGGGAATCGCTTTTTCTGGCCTGTTATTCCTCCCTTGGGAGCCCAGTGACTAAGACCAGGCCAAAGGGAGGGGCTCACAGTGTGGCCCAAGACTTCACAGTGCCCTACTTGGCCCATTCTGATCTTGTCCTTTAGGGAGAGGTGAGAGCGGTGAGCTGTCAAGTCCTGCAGAAGCCAAGACTTGGCATCCCAGGGCATCCCTGGGGAGTTCTTGTTAGTTTGTGTTGGTGCTGAGGACAGGAGGCTGAGGATTCTGCATCTACCCCTTTAGATCCATCCTGTATCCTCTTCCTGTTCTGTGCCCTGAAAAGCTGACTTCTAAGGAATGCATCAGCAGATCTCTTGATCCCTGGCTGATCTGTTGGGGGTCAGGAAGGTCTGTGAAGGAAATCCAAAGGCAGCAGGAAGACATGGTATAAGATTCTTGCCCCATCTCCCTCTCTGCCAAGCTAGGGGTTGTCTGTGGTGGTCTTCCCTCTCTACTAAAACCATAGTTCTTGTCAAGCAGCTTTCTTGAACAGTTATGGCTACCTCCAAACTAACACTTTCAGAGTTTCTCTCTCTCTCTCT